GAAGTAAAGGATAATAAACTTTGTTATTTTAAGACACAAAGTTCGTAATAATTGGTTGCAGAGCAATAGGGAAATTCATAGGACAGATACAGCCAACATAATCATGGAGAAGAAAAAAGTTGCAGGAATTACACCAGCTTTTATAAAGATTTGTTACAAAGCTCTACTAATTAAGCAGTCTTGGTTGGGGCAAGAATAGAGAAATAAATAAATGGACAGACTAGATTGCTCAGAAAATAATTCATAAATATAAAGTGGTCTAAATTATAACAAAGCTAGGGAAAAGATGAACTTTTAAAGGAATACTGCAGCAGAATTTGGATAATCATATAGATAAAAATGAATACTGCCCCTCTTTCTCATGCCATACAAAACAAATATATTTTTTCCATGTATGGTCTATCTAAATGTGAAATTTAAAAAAAAAAAGGATAGAAGGAGTAAGATAGCATCCAAAAATAGCTTCCCAGGTTGACATATGCAGGTATTAGTTAAATAGGAAACAATAAATACTAAGGAGGAAGTAAAAGAAGGCTGCGTTAAGCTAAATAAAAGAAGCTTGTTTGTCCAAAGTAGAGTTCAGGAAAGTACAGCTGTCAAGCCCATCTTCTGTTTATGTAAATAAAATCTTCTTGGGCCCCATACACCTCCCTTCACATGTTGATGGCTGCTTGGGGGTTAAAACAGCAGAATTGAGTAGTGGCAACAGAAACCTTAAGGCCTGTGAGCCTGCAATGTCTATTAACCTGGCCTTTTACAAAACCTGCTGACCCCTAATCCAAAGCGCTATTCGAGCAAAAAAATCATCCACAGAATTAGGGAGGATATTCACAAAGAGTATAACCAACAAATGACTATTATCTAGATGATAAAATAGTATACCTAAAAAGTCAATAAGAAAAAGACAGACAATCCAAATAAAACCACTGGGAAAAGCTTGGAATAAGACTTCACAACAAAAGGATATCCAAACAATCAATAAGCATATGAAAAAGTGCTCAAACTTAGTTATCAGAGAAAAGCAAATTAAAACAATGAGATAACACTACACTTCATCAGAATAGCTGAAAAGTAAAAGACTGGCAATACCAGGGTATTGGCAGTGACTTGGAAAAACAGAAATATATGAGGAACTCATCTACACAGAAAACTATAAAACTGTAGGAGTATAAATAAGGGAGGCCCAAATAAATAGAGAAATGCAACATATTCATGAATTGGAGGACTCCGTATTGAATATCTCCCCAATTCTGCCCAAATTGGTCTATACATGCAAGACAAAACTAGTTAAAATCTGAAGGTTTTTTGTTGTATAGAGAATGATGGACTATTTCTAAAATGTATGTAAAATGCAAAGAATGCAGAAGAGCCAGGATATTTCTAAAGAAAATCAGAAGGGGAGGACCCGCTCTATTTTATATCAAGGCTTAAAACTATAATAATTGCTACAATATGGTGCTCTGCAAGAACAAATAGGAAAATAGAACGTAACATAGACAACAGAAATAGAGACATTGTACCTTCTTTTTTTTAAAATCACAAAGATGGCAATGCAGAACAGTCAGAAAATGTCTATTTGTTAATTTTTAAATAAGTGGTGCTGGGTCAATTGGATATCCATACTGGAATAAAATGGAATTTGACTTCCACATCACTGCTCACAATTTGGGGAAAATTTTAGATTTAAATGCACTGACAAGACAGAAAAGCTTCTAGAAGATAGAAGAATATATTCATTACTTGACATGGAACCTTGAGAAGGGGACATAAAAGAAACATAAAAGGCAGAGATAAAGGGTGTAAAAACGCCAGGAGACTATCTGAATCAGGTTCCAGTTGAACTTAAAGGTAACCCAATAGGAAAAGGAATTAAATGTTGAAATAACTTTGGTCTCAAATTGTATTTGTCATTAAAAGAAAATGAATTCTCTCTGGAAATGAACAACATAGCCTCTAGACACTACATGGATATAATGGATGGAAGAAAATGATGTCAAATAGAAAAAGTTATCTATTTTTATAACACTATCTTATAATTTACTTCCATTTTTATTTTATAATCCAAATAAATAAAAAAGAAATCTGTGCTACAAATTGATGTGTAAATTACATAATACATATTGTAGCTGCTACATCACTGAAAAGAATGTAAGCCAACGTCAGTCTCCTGAAAAGTAGACTCCCATCCTTCTAGACAAAAAAAAAGAACTAATTAATTGAACCAAAGAAATGCAATGAAAGCATAATATTGTTGTTAAGAAGGTGAAAAAGAAAGTAGAGGCACACAGAAAAGCTTCTAGGAAACTACAAGAAAAACTAAGGTATATCCTGAAAGAAGACTTACATGCTGTTTTCCTCCCTAAACTGACTAAAAATCTCAACAGCCTCAGTTTACACACTTTGATCCACGTACTATCAAGAGTTTGATCTGCTAATATTTGCTTTGGTACCAGTGTTGCCCAGTCTTGACAGTGCTTAATCAAGGTGAACGACCTGTATGAAAATAGGTATGAATTTTGTGGACAGATGGTTCCCAAAATTCACATGAAGCCTAATGACAGACACTCATTGTTCCAAGCCCTGAGTCTATATTGATTTCCCAAACTTGAGAAATAGAAAAACTATGAAATAACTTGATTAGCCTCTGTTATGACTTTGTTAAATTAATATTTGTCAAGTAAAGCCCCAGGGTATGGGACCATGACCTGTAGTTCAACAAAAGACCAAAAGGGAAATTAAAATAGAAGAGTTTAGTACTCCAGGCCCAGGAGGAAGTACACAGTACACCTGAAGGGACCACACAAGGAAGTCAAGGCAGAAAGAGGGGGCAGGACCTGGGGCATATGCCTTTATTAGCATCTCTGGGTGGAGTGTTTTGAGGTTCCTGGGCTAAGACCAGACGGGTCAATTCAAACCAGAAAGAGTGGGTAAACAGCACACAGGTCTTATCTAAGGAGCACCAAAGAGAAGGCTCTGGGAGGCAGGGGGAAACTGTTCACAAGGGCTTTAGGGGAATCACAACAGGAACTTGCATCTGCTGTGGCTGTTACCAAGGACAGGTGTTTGGGGGGAGGCTGTGTCAGTTCAAGACCTCCACAGACCCCTTAGCCACACAAAATGAGTGCCTAAGCAGCAATGTCATGGAACTGCTTGGCTAAGCTCTCAACAAGCCATCCTGTGATTCCAGGACAACAGGAACAGCAATCACTGGTGTAGCAGTATGTTAAGGGCCATAGGTATTGTTTTCTGAAGCCACTGTCACACACCTTTAACCAAGGCAAAGATGATGAAGCCTATGCTGAATAGACTCACTTCTGCTTGAAATCCAGTTCTTGGCCTTTGCCCCAGGTGGATGGAGAGAGCATGAGAGCAAAGTAAGGGTCTCAGGAAGTGTGGGAATGTGCTGAAATATTCCAGCTGTATTATGCATGACCTGTATACTTTTATAAAATAGACATTTTTCTGGAGGTTGACCCCTATGTGTCCTGACTTGATAATGTACCTACAGCAAGAGGTGCCCACAAGGAACAGATTCCTCCCCACTCGGCCAGTTGGAACTCTAACACCAGTCAGTTATCCATCACCACTTGGGCTAGGGAGTCACGTTGTTATTGTGTCAGACTCAGAGTGTGGTATAGGGTTTGCACGTGGTTGGTTCGTTAGGGTAGCTGATCATTGTGGGATGGCTTTTAATATTTGATCTTGTTGGGATAACGTGTTAGCACCTATTGCAATGTCTGCCAGTCCCAACAGGGAAGGGATAAAAATGGCTCCTTTAGAGAGGCGTCAGGAGGATAAAAGGGGGCAGGAAGACTATAAGTAGCGCTGTTTTGATAATTGGGGTCATCTGGTCTAATAGCTTGTGGGTGGGGCAGGGTCACGTGGACTTGCTCCTGGCCCCTTGAGTCAAGTTCACAGTAGGATCCAAGTGAGGCATCATTTCCCATTAGGGGGCAGTGAGTACATAGGGTGAGGTCCAGCCTTTGTGTTTGATGCAGTTGGTAACCTTTAGAAAGTGTTGCCATGGGGGATTAATTATTTTGATGCTTACTCAGAGAGCCCTGTTTGGAATCCAGACTAAGGGTCTGGCTCAACTCAAGTGAGGTATTTTGGATGTAATTAATACAGAGGAACCAGTCACTAGAAAAAGCTGCAAGACAGATAGTGGCATGGGGCCCACTATGACCCTGCATAGTGGCAGATCCAACATTGTTTTATTTGCAAGGTCTGGGCTGCTGTTTCAGAGATTTGTATGAATGTATTTGTCATGTCGGATCTGCCCACTTGGTTGTGGTCGGGGGCAGGGTTGCCGTGTATGATGGGAAGGGGCTATGGAGAGGAGCGGAGGTGGCAATTTCAGCTATGGAGGAGATGCAGATGGTGGGGTGGGGGAAATAATGAGGAGAGGAGAATCTGTCCAAACTGAGGTGGAAAGCAAAAGCTGCAACACAGTAGGAAGAGGCCCCTAACCATGAGGTCTAGGCAAGCCAAGCTAGGGGTGTTGTGAGGAAGTGACTTATTGTGGCTGCTGTGGTTTAGAACCTATTGTTTGGCTTGCCATAAAGGTAGGATGACGTCTGGTGCTACCAGGGAGTCTGCAAGGAACTTGCAGTTTTAAGTTATGATGGAGTCACTAGCCTGTAACTCCACATGAACCCCGTAGTACCACTCCTAGATGTATACCCAAGAGAACTGAAAACCTGTGTGAGGTGCCATCTCACTGTGGTTCAGATTCACATGTCACAGATGATGGAGAAGGTTGAACATTTTTTTCATGGGCTTTCCTGGCCATTCAGATCTCTTCTTAGAAGAATTCCTATTTAGGTTTTTGCCCATTTTTCAACCATTTTTCAATTTCAGTTTTTCCACGTTTCAAGCTTTTGTGAGGCAAGCAGTTAGCTAATTCAGAAAAATAATATTCTACAGGGTCCTGAGAGTCAATCAACTGGAGGCATTTTTGCAACCCAGCCTCTAGGTTGACAGCCGCTGCATTCACTTGCCTCCTGATTTGGAGGCGACAGGGTCAGGAAGGGCATTGTCTCCCTCAGTGCGCCCTTGGGTTGTGGTGACTGTCTGAGGTGTGGTCACGGCCAACAGCAAGCTCTTGGGCTGGAGAGATGTCACCTGAGGCATCGGCGTACTTGGGAGTGACAGAGGCCGACCCGGGAGACGGTAGCCTTCCCAGGGAGATCCATGAGAGGCAGGCGTGGCTGGCTGGTGTTGAATTCTGAGTCCATACACTGGAGGCCTGCATGGATGGAATTACAGTGATGTACTGCCAGTTGAGCAGATCTCAGTGAGCTCTGATCATCGGGGGTGCATCTTGCAAAGGACCGTGCTGTATCTGGGGACTCCATCCCAAGTGCGTATAGATTCTGGGCATATTGATGGACTAATGTAGGGACATTTCGTGCAGGGCAGCTTTACAATCCAGAGATCACCCCATTAAAATTGTGGTGGGATCATTAGAGCACAAACCTGCCAGCAAATGGCTCTGTTGTGCTTACACAGGGGTGGCCATTCTGCCTGGGATATAATTTGAGGCATGGTATAAGGAAGGAGTGACTCTTTCAAGCATAGCTTTTATTGGCAGCATTTAACCTAGAGAGAGGTGAGCTCTGGGTCAGAATCCACATCCAGTGGCACATTGTCCAAAGCCCTTCTAACAGTGCCTGCCAGCATCTGACACATAGTCATCCTCAGAAGCAGTCGTGCTTCTGACTGATTTTGTTCCAGTGCATCTCTTGGAACAGGATTAGGACAAGGGGTCTCCTAATAAACCCATTGCCCAGCTGTACGTAATAAGAGTGATTGCCACAACCAAACAGAGCAACTCTTTCAGGGCCAGAAATCTGAGCACTGACCAAAGGTAAAAGATAACTGCTTTGGAGCAAGAAGTCAGTTACTTTCTGACGGGGTAAGGACGCAGCTGCTTTCTCTGATAGCAACCATTGGATTCTTTGGGATTTCATTTCCTAAATTACAGGCATCCACTTGATCACTTTTCCTCTCTCTGAGATCCACACAGTTCCATTAGTGGGAGCTATAATTTCAATCTGCTGCAAAATATTTTATGAATTTGCCTTATCAACTAGCCTTTATAACCTGAATTTACCTTATCAACTAGCCTTTATAACCCAAATAGTGAGGCAAAGCTAGTGGTGGTCTTAGCTTCATGGTTGGTATCAGACCAACCAGTGAAATCTAAGTAATCATGATCTGGAAGCAATTTGGTAGGGTCTGACACCACGGGCTGTCTATTATATGAGGATCAGATGGCACAGTCTGCTCTCCATGGGCCACCAGCATATGGAAGCTGGGGAAATGATCGAAAAATCGACATGCTGAGGGGAGCGCTCATCTGGCACACAGATGTCAACGAGCTCTTCTTCCTGTCAAAGCAGTGAGGGCAGTTTGTGAGTACTGGCAGGGGAGTGTTGGGAGGAGATTGGTAGCTGGGGGTGGGAGGGGTGGTGAGGGAGACTAGGAATTCAGCATTATTAGAGCCTGGGGTAACATTTCTGTCCATTCGAGGGACCACCTATTGTCTTGAAGCTTGAGAGCATGTCATTGAGTAGGCCATTTTCTCTCTGTAAGTCAAGCCCCTTGGGACCTTAGCTGAGAAGAAATTCCATAAGACTCCATGTTCTAGAGTCCATGACTGAGCAGCTTGGGAGGTGAAATGCATACTTTGATCTGAATCAATATGCCTTGTGGACCAAAGGGGATGAGCACATACCCAATTAAGGAGTACATGATGGGAAGCAGAGTTTCTAGTGAGAGTAGACAACAGGAGTCCAGTGAAGGTATCTAGGTGTCCCGCTACCATGCCTCCACGCTCCAGCAGAAGGCCCCAACAGTGGTCTGATCAAATAGGTTCTGCACCCTAGGGCACCTGCCCCACCTTGAAACCTTCCAGAGTTTTGTGTCAGAGCAAAGGGAGTAATTATCCAACACCACTTTGGCTAGAGCATGGATGAGGAGGATATCACAGCTTTATGGCAATTCCGTGAGTGCTTTTCCTCCCCTCTGGCCTGCTGGGCCCTCTCTGCTACTGGGTGTGGCTTCTCTGGAAGAATGGTTGTATCTGGGGCTCTATCTGGTACTCTGGGCGGTGGTTCGTGTGTGGTCTTAGCATCATGTGTGATCTGGATAAGGAGCTGAAATGTTATTATAACATGTTTCTGGCGTTTGTTGGCATGTGTGTACAGGGACCATAATGCACACATATGAGCGGGCTATCACTTTCCGGGTAGAGGCACCCAGGAGGGGCCTTCTCTGAATCCTGGAATTATGTTTTAGGCATGATCCAGACCCAAAACTAGCCCAATGGCTACTGCCCAGGAGTTAGTAAAATGTATGCCCCCTGGAAGTCATATCTTTATGGCCTGTTGCAGAACCAGGCTCACGACCACCAATTCCGCCAGCTGGGGCCGAGCCAGGGAAGCCATGCTGCAGCCTTCTGGCAGACGGCATTGCAGTCAGTGGTGGGGCTCCCATCAGTGAAGAATGTGATCTCTCCCATGTCAGAAAGCTGTCCCCAGGAACACCCCCAAACCGATAGAGGGAATGCAGTACAGGCGCCACTAGCTGCACTCAGTGTCAGCAGGCATGGAGCTGAGCAGGGAAATCACATCCCCCGTGATTTGTAACGGCCTTGAACATCAGATCAGCTCTTTCCTGAAGGAACTATTTCTATTTTAACAGTGAGGCCTCCTTGGCCACGGCTGGCCTCTGCTGCGTTGAACTCCTGACCCAAGACAGGGTGGGGACTTGCATAAGAAACACATGGGCTCTGAGCCTGTTAACACCTCTTCCTCTAAAAGGACACAATAGGCTGCCAAAATTTGGCTACTCAAGGCGGTAGGTACCAGCCTGATGTGTGGGGCAGATGTTCATTCCAGAAACCCATGGGTAGCCACGGAGAGCCATGCTCAGTCCAAAGACTCCATGAGGCAAAGTCAGGCATGGCCAGTGATTCAACTTGGAAGTCCAATGCTGGGAGGACAAAGGACAAGGGCTGCTGTATGGCTTGCTAGGCCAATCATAAAGAAGTTTGCTGAGGGTCTCCCCGATGGATAGAAGCTGGTTTCCATGTAATGGTATAAATAGGCCTAAGTAGAATGGGTAAGTATGAAATGTGTTGCTCTAAAGGTACAGAGACTGTGTCTGTGCCTGCTGCAGTGTAGTGGAAGGCTTGATTGTGAGGATCTGATGGCAAGAAGAATTTTGCAATCCTCAACTGACCACACTATGCCAAGAGACTGGACAAATGTGACTGCTCCTTGGAACTTAGGTGGGGCAATGGCCCATCCTCTCTGCTATACATGTCGGGTTACTAGGTATAAATCTTCCCAGACTGCATCCTCAGAAGGTCCCCTTAGTAGAATGACATCTACATATTGGCAAAGGAAGTAGTGGACTAGTTTGAATGAATTTAGATTTTGTCTGCATAGGCTATGTGTGAGGGCAGGGCTATTTAATTTAGATAACCCATGGGTAGCGGAGTAAATGTAGACTGGGTGCCCTTGAAACTGAAAGCAAATCAAGATTGCAAGGCAGTTGTTGGAACTGAGTAGGACTAGATCTAGGGCAGCAAAGCAAAGGTCCTGAGCTTTTTGGTGTCTTCCATCATCTCTGTAATATTGGCAATGGGAGCCTTAATGGCAAAAATCTGTGCATTTAGGTTTTGCTAATCAATTGTTAATCTCCATTCATTGGTGGCCAGTTTTAACACTGATAGGGCTTTTAAAGGGTGAGATGATGGGGTAATAACCCCAGTGTCAGGTGTCTCTAATTATGGGCTGAAGGCCCTTTATACCTTGCTTTTAGCCAATACTGTGATGTATTTACTAGTTTCACTGGAGAAAGCAGTTGGACAGACTTCCATTTGGCAGCTCCCATGAGAAAGGCCAAGAATTTGAGATTATTCCACCAGGTATGTTGCTGGGTGGGGGCACCCATAGCTATAACAGGAAAGAGACAGCCAGAAGGATCACCACCACTGGCAACTGTTTCACAAATATGGTGTCAATAGACACATCTAGCTTAATTTTTATTTTCTTTATAATTTTACCTGCTATGACTTGTAGGCTGTAGGATGCTCTCTTGAGGAATTTCGAAGGATAACCTGGAATTACTGTCACTTGGGATCCTGTGTCTAATACAGCCAAGAATGTCTAGGCACTCAGCAGGGGCCACAGCTAGGTCAGCCTTGGGTGGAAGTCCATTGTTGAGCCTGTGCATAACCCCCATCCCTGCCACCATGGCCACTTTTATCAAGAACCCATTGAGTGATGACGGGTGGTTCGGGAAAGAGGCTGACTTGATGCACAAAGCAGATCATCCTAGCCACTTGATTATTAAAAACCTCCTCTGCTGAGGTCACCCTATGGTGAGCATTCACACAGGATACACATATCTTTATGCTTTTTGCCCATTCAGAGGAATCTCCATACACTTACCCCCAAATTTCTTTGTCACCAGTTTTCCAATCACATTCCTTCCAAGTCCCTGACCATCCAGCCAAAGCGTTGCCGCAGCCCATGAATCTCTTTAATCACATGTGCAGCCACTCCTCCTCCCAAGCAAATCGAACAACCAGACACACTACTCAAAGTTCTTCCCACCAGGAGCATTTCTCATGGGGGATGCCCCAAACAGGGGCTTCAGTATCACGGCCGCCTACTTTTGGGTGGTACCTCAATATCATGCAGAATATTCCATCTGTAAATCAGACTCAAGTCTTCTTCTGCCACTTAGTTGTAAGAAACTCTCCATGAAGCCATAGATGCTGTCTAGAAGAGAGAAGGCAGGATAGCAGGAGGTGGGACAATGGGCCTTTGGGCTACTTCATGTAAATTACTTGTGTATTCAGGGCCTGCTTGGGCCTGATATGTGCATACCATTTCCATTTGGTGACAGAGTGCTGCTGTCCACACCCATTGCTAAGTCTTGCTGGGTCAGGAGCTCAGTTCATGATGGACAGCTCAGGTCACAAGGCAACCTGGTGGCCCAGTAAGCATGAAGCCTCCACTCAGGCCCTTAGCAGGCTAGGAGTTGTTGTCCAAAAGAGGAGCAGTTATCTGCAGATGACATTAGGGTATTGCTCCAAACTCCTAAAGACCTAAGCT